CTCCACAGTCACTTACGAACTCCTTGTTAAAACCGTGTTTATGGAAGACAATCTTATTCAGCTACGAGGGATGGCAGAAGAAGAAGAAGAAGAAGAAGAAGAAGAAGAAGAAGAAGAAGAAGAAGAAGAAGGGGAAAGTATTCAATTGCATAGGCCTGGCAGAATAGAAAAGTTTTCAGCAGGCATTCAAAAGTCGAAGCAGAAGGCACCTGCTGACTCTCCAGTGGCAGGGAGTTCTGCAGGACCTGGCCGATGACAGTAAAGTCCCTGTTTCTCACTGTTGTCAAATGAGCCTCACCAATTTGGGGAAAGGCCATTGACACTCCTGTGAGTGACCTCACCTGTGCACTAAAAGGGGAGGGAAGAGGAGGGAACACATCCAAATTAGAGCAAAGTTATTCTGTATCATCCAGCCAGCCAGCCTTCCCCTGAACCTAATCCCCAAGTGGCTCCATGTAGCTCTTTGCTGAGCTCTCTGCGTGCAACATTTGTACATGACAGAGATTGGGGATAAAAAAGGAAGCGTGCGGGGAGAGGAAAAACAGTTTCTCTGTTTTAAATGGCAAAATAATTACAAAGGCTCTCAAACACAGCGGAACCACACTGGGCCTTTTTGACTTCGTGAATAATATTAGCATTTTCTCAGCCCTTTGATGAATCGTCAAGTTCATTTGTTGCCTCCCTGCTTCTGAGGACGGCTGCCTGATTGGTTTTTGTCCCACTTGTGTTAATTAATTTCCTTACTAGCCGTGATAGGGTGGCATGTGACCTCATCATGGGACAGGATGCCATTGTGCCCTTCCACGCGACAGAACAGCGGCCGTTTTGGATGCTGTGAGATCTTACGTGATTTCTCCCAAAACAAGCGCTTTTGGGGGGCACGGCACTCAAAAGCACACATTTTGGGGCACCATGTGAGATCGTAGCCCCCTTAAAACCATTTTTTGGGGGGAAATCACAGCATGAAATCGCAGCATCCCAAATGACCACTGTTCTCTCGTGAGAAAAAATGGGATGCCTCGTTTTTTCCAGGACAGTTGCGGGGGCTGATGTTGTCACCTGCCCTGGAACCGTAGGGTGAGTCATTAATTATAGCAAGGATGTTAAATAATAACTTTCCCCTTGCAGGGCTGTTTGGTCAAAGTCTGGTTTAATTACATAGAACCTGCAGGAAGGAAGTGGGCAGAGGAGGCCTTGAAGTTACCTTGAAGTCAGCAGGTGGTACCTGGGCAGCAGAATAGGCAGGACAAACAGCTGATTGTCACCTTCTCAGTCCCCACCCCCCTTATCCTTAAGATATCAATGACTTCCCTTCTTCTCTTTCCATGGTTCATTTTGCATATCATCAATCCCTGCACATTTTACAGGAACTATACCATTCCGTATTCCATTATTACATCCATCATAACCTACTTACACTGTTGAATTTATCTGAATGCTGCCAGTGTTTTCAGCTGTACACAGTTATTTCCCATATATTCAATAAGCGTTTTCCAATCTTCTCTAAACCTATGTTCTTCTTACTCTATATGTTAAGTCTGCAAGCTGCACATATTCTGTGCTCCCCTGTTTCTATATCCAAAGAGGGGTCTCTGTTGCTGTAGAGGCAATTGAGTGGGGCCTGTCGCCACCTCACCTGGCTGGAGGCCACATTGCTCTAGGATTCGGAGCAGCTCCTACTTCGAACTTATATGAAAACCATTTAGAAACCTTTAAGCGTTAAATCATGCATAGGCAAACCAAGGCCCGGGGGCCAGATCTGGCCCAATCACCGTCTAAATCTGGCCCGCGGACGGTCCGAGAATCAGTGTGTTTTGACATGAGTCGAATGTGTCCTTTTATTTAAAATGCATCTCTGGGTTATTTGTGAGGCCTGCCTGGTGTTTTTACATGAGTCGAATGTGTGCTTTTATTTAAAATGCATCTCTGGGTTATTTGTGGGGCATAGGAATTCGTTCATGTTTTTTTCTTTCCAAAATATAGTCCGGCCCCCACAAGGTCTGAGGGACGGTGTACCGGCTCCCTGCTGAAAAAGTTTGCTGACCCCTGCGTTAAATAAACACACTCCAGTGAGAGGACAGAGGTGCAGGGGAATGTGGCAAATGAAATACGTTGTCAGTACAGAGAACTGGGGGCACAGAAGTGATTGTTTAGATCGAAGGGGCAGGGGCGTACGAAGGGGGCAGGGCGGAGGGGGTGGGCCGCCCCGGGTACCACTCGGGGGGAGTGTGACAAGATGGCCCGCTGCTTCCCCCCAGCTGTAGAGCAGCCAAGGGAGTGCGCGCAGTTGCCTATGCCCACACCTGTCAAGTCCTCGCCTCTCGCCTGTATTAGCAGCAGTCTGCTGGCAAATGGAACCCAGCTTTCAAGGTATAATGTATCACCATGGCAGCCCTTATTGCTGCTAGAGATTAGAAGACTGATGCTCTGTTCCCCAGCGCCTCTTATCAGCAGTAGTCAGCGCCGAGTCTTCTCCCTGGGAACACCTGCCCCTTTGTAGGTTGGCACCTGTGCTTTTAAGCTTGAGCACCTGTCTGATTCAGATCTCCTGCTACTCAGCGGACGAGTCCGTGCTTTGTTTCTGCTAAATAGAGGGGGGGTACTTTTTGCAGGCAGCCGTTTCGTTTGCATTCATGGCACAAGGCGGGAGCTGCTCAGTTACGGCAGGGAAAGCCAGGCAGCGGCAGCAGCAGAACACACAGTTATTTCCCCCGCATCTTTCTTCCCTCACAACACCCCTGCGAGGTAGGTAGATTAGCCTGGGAGAGACTGGCTGTCCCAAGGTCACTCAGCAAACTTCAGAGCAGAGTATATTTTTCATCTTGATCTTCCTGGCCCTAATCCAACATGCGAACATCTGTATTATTCAACAGAATGTTTTAGCTCGAGTAGGTTTAGTTGCACTTACTGTCAGATTGTTGCAAATCAAATAGATTCCACATATTTGGGGGGGAGCACAGGGTTGCTGCTGTGCAAGAGAGAGAGAGAGAGAGAGAGAGAGAGAGAGAGAGATCAGAAGAGGACACCAACTTGCACAACATCTGCAGGTGCTAATTCATATGTACAGTTTTACCTCGGGTTACAGACGCTTCAGGTTCCATACGCTTCAGGTTACAGACTCCGCTAACCCAGAAATAGTGCTTCAGGTTAAGAACCTTGCTTCAGGATGAGAACAGAAATCGTGCTCTGGCGGCGCGGCGGCAGTGGGAGGCCCCATTAGCTAAAGTGGTGCTTCAGGTTAAGAACAGTTGCAGGTTCAGAACGGACCTCCGGAACAAATTAAGTACTTAACCCAAGGTACTACTGTAGCTGAGACTCCAATACTTTGGCCACCTCATGAGAAGAGAAGACTCCCTGGAAAAGACCCTGATGTTGGGAAAGATGGAGGGCACAAGGAGAAGGGGACGACAGAGGACAAGATGGTTGGACGGTGTTCTCGAAGCTACAAACATGAGTTTGACCAAACTGCGGGAGGCAGTGGAAGACAGGAGTGCCTGGCGTGCTCTGGTCCATGGGGTCACGAAGAGTCAGACACGACTAAACGACTAAACAACAACAACACTACTGTATAGATGCAAATGTAGAAATAATTCCTGTAGCCAAGCTATCCACTGGACTTCATGGGGCAATGTTGGTCCCTAAGCTTGTCTCTCTCCCTCTCCCTGCCCTCTCCCTGTCGCCCCCTCTCTCTTTCTCTCTCTCTCTCCTTCAGTCATTTGGAAGTGGATTTGTAGCAATGATCGCTGGGTGTGGAGCACACTCCCCCTCACAGATAAAGCCACCGCTGTCTGAACATCTTGCCCTCTGTCTAACCTTTTGCCATCTCAGTAGTCTGCGGTGTCCTGTCTGTGACCTTTGTCTCTGAGACCTTTGTCTCCTTCGTCATACACTGTGCAAGGGGAAAATGACGTGGTGGAAACAGACGCCAAAATAGCTTTGTACCACCCCACGATCTCAGGACTGGAAGATGTGTAAAGGTCACAGCCCAAAATGTATCTGCCTGGGTTTGCATATTGTGTCAATAAAAGGAGCCTCCACAGAGCTGGCTGGCAGCTTGCTTGCAGCTCACCTGTGCGCAGCTCACCTGCATTACCAACTCCTGCCTCATGTCCTTCACTTCATGGATTGCTTAACAAATATGTGGTTTTATTAGCGATTCATTGCATCCTTCCAGAATACAGAGGAAAATTGTACAGGTATGTTTAGCCTGGAGAAGAGGAGCCTGAGAGTTGAGATGAGAACTGTCTTCTACAATCTGAAGATGGAGCAAGCTGGTTTCCTCCTGCTCCAGTGCGTTGGCCCTGAACCAGTTAAATCCAGTGGAATTTCAGTGAAACCAAATGAAAAGAAAGGCGATTCGAAATAAACATTGGGGAGAAGTTTCTGTCGGTAAGAGCTTTTTGTCAGTGAAACGGACTTTCTTGGAAGGTATCAGCCTCTCCTCCACCAGAAGTTTTTAAGCAGAGATTGGATGGCCATCTGCCATGGATTCCTTAGCTGTGATTCCTGCATGGCAGGAGGTTAGATTAGATTATTCTTTGGGGTCCCTTCCAACTCTACAATTCTATGATTCTATATCTGGAAGTGTGTTTTTTAAAATGCCTTACACATTAAGTATACACACAGTCATATGGAGGGGCGGAAGCCAGCCTTTGCAAACAATACAGGCGGAAGAGAAGTTTTAAACTAAGATGAATGAACGACCAAAATTATATATTTAAAGGTAACTGTTTCTTGGTCCTGCAGATAACTGAGAAATGCCAAGAAGACTGAGAAGTTTTGTTTTGTTTTGATTTTACATATACATACACATCAAATAATCAGAATATTAAAAAAGAAAAAGAAAGAAAAAGCATATCAGCAATAAAAAAGGAAAAAGAAAAAGAAATGAAAAACAGCCTCAAAAACAAGCATTTTCAAATGCAAATCTTCGTAGAGAGTACAAGCCGTCTTTTTGCAACTTCTGGCTTGACTCCTTGATTCCTAAGATGACTTCCCGCTACCCATGAACGTTACTTGAGAATTCCTTTTCCTAAATATCTGTACTCAGTTGGGAAGTCTGTGGAGAAACGTTCTGGTTGCCAGTGGGGTTTTAATCTACGCTAAGCCAAGTGATGGTCTGGGAACCTCCATTTTTCATATATTTTATAAAAGCATCCCATTCTCTCCTTATTCTCTCCTTTGAATGATTTCTTATTGAGCCTGTAATTTAGCCAATTCTAGGTATTCACTGTTTTTTAACAGCCATTCTTCCTTTGCTGGTATTATAGACTGAGAAGTTTTGAACTCTTTTTGTTTACCCTGTGACGGTCCAGGCCAACAAAGCCAGGATCCTAAAGACCCTCATATATTCCGCAAGCTGCTACTTCTGCATCTCCTCCACCTAAATCTTTGTTTGTGTGTTTGTGTGTGTGCACACCCACACTGCTGTGTACATTCTCAATGAATGTGTTATTCAATTAGGAATTTGAACACGCGATCAGATGATGACTTAAGAGGATTTTTCCTAAGTTGGGGTTTTAATAGACTGGTGCATTCAGGCACACATTCTCTTAACGGGTTTATTCCTTTTATCAGATTGCGTCTCCCTACTTCTCAGCTAAGCTCCTTTTAATGCATTTGGGGTCCCCCCCCCTTCTTCTTTATATTGTCAAGGCCTTGGTTCCTCCAGGCCTCTTCCCTCCCTCACTTGAGATTATGCAAATCCTCGGTAATGCAGTTTAACGGGGCTGAGTTTGTCATGGAGGGCTGAGTCCTGAACACTGCAGAAAGGAGGCTTCCACAAACGTCTTCCCTGATTAGCAATGGCAGAGAAAAGGGCGGCCTTGTGAGACGGAGAAGGAGAGAGACCTCTGGCTTGGACCTGACAGCCTTTGCTAGAAATCCTGTTGAGCTGGAGTTCCTGAGGATGAGATATCGGTGGGCGCCCTCCCTCCCCAAAAATCTCCGCCGCCTCCACTCCTACCAGCTTGTCTGTCACCGGCTTTCTTTTTGACATAACGACATGATGCCAGCAAAGTTCTCCGACACTGTAATCTTACAGATTTATCAAGGAATTTGAATGGAGGGTTTGGAGCCAGCCTTGTCCAAGTCGATTTCTTGGTTGGTCAGTCAGCTGTCAGGGCAGGAGAAAAGCTCCACGCTGAGTGTGCCTTGACGGCCTGAAAGAATGTCTTCGGAGACAGGGCCGTCTCTCCCCCCAAGGGAAAACGGTGAGCCCCAAAGAGGGGCCTGGGCAAAATGGAGGTATTTATTTCATCCCTACGATTTCTACACCACTTGATGGCAAAACCTCAAACAAAAAACCCCAAAGGATAATAAAATGAAATGGAGAAAAACTTACAAGACTTTTTAAAATATACAAAAAGTTAAAATATTAAAATGGGTTAAAACTTGCACCGGCTTTCTAAGCACCTTGGTGAGGCTTACCTAATCAAGAATGCTTTTATTATTGTTTATTATTTATTCAATTATATCTGTATCAAAAGTTCCCAGGGAGATATGCAATGTTAAGAACACACCTTACGGGGCATAATAACAAAAACATAATAATATCTAGAGAGAAAAAGAGAGAGATTGCACATTCTTTTGTAATCCAAGGAAATCTTTAATAAAACTATTTCAAAAATTAAAATTAAATAACCATAGCAGTCCCACCCCCCAGCTTTAACAGGCCATAGATTAGGCAGGTAAAAGGGATACAGTGAAGGGCCGCGCTTGATATCAACAGGCAGGGAGTTCCGGAGTGTAGGTGCTGCCACACTAGACAATCGAATGCTTACAAACATGGGATGGGGATCACGTGGCGCCTTGCAGTCAAGGAGAACACTCTCTTTGTGGTCTGTTCACGAAGCACAGTCCCACAGCTAAACCCGACCTTCCTCATGATCAGCTGGATAGCTCAGTTGGTTAGCGTGTGCTGCTGATAACGCCAAGGTTGCAGGTTCGATCCCCATAAGGGATAGCTGAATATCCCTGCATTGCAGGGGGGGTGGACTAGATGATGCTCAGGGTCCCTTCCAGCTCTAGATTTCTATGATCCTACCTATTGTATGTTTTGACTTATTACAAAACAGGCATCCCAGAATATAAAAAAGCCGCAGGAATTATGAAGGCATGGAAACCTTATGGTCAAAACTCTCAGATCCGCAGTGTGGATGAATAATTTGTGAATTTCTCTCTCCGCAGACTATTATAACGTGCTGCTGAGATTAAATTGGTCTGTGGGCAGCAGTTTTCTTTGGCCCAGTTTTACGAAACGTGGAGATCCTGCCTTCCTGTTAGGCTTCAGCTCTGCCAGAGAGATCTGAGACTGGGATCAGTCGGTGTCTATCCCATACGCAGATCTGATACAGCCAGGGAGTTTGGGAAACCTGGTTTGTGTGGTGGAACAGCAGGATCTGTGCCTGTTGTTCCCCGAAGCTAAATGAATGCATAATGGTTATGAGTAGCAAAACAGAGCAAGACACAGTCAGAGAGAGAGATGGAAATTAGCAGCAATAAGACAAGAGGACAAAAATATCTGGGTTTTTAAAGACAAAGTTATAAATGAGCCGAGTGGCCAGTGAAGCAAGGAGAGAAACATAAAAGCTCCTTCAGAGAATCATGCATTTGGACTCTCGTATCTCCACCTAATAAGCTCCTCTCTGCAGACAGCAATTAAACAGGGAGGTGTAATACACCACAGTTTCCCAGTTTTCCCAAACTGGGAAACTCTGGTTAGCAGCTTCAGAGCAAGCCAGAATCTTAGACCAACTTCAAGCCTTTAATGTTTAAGATTTTAGCCTTGTTCCAAAGCTGAGAACCATAGTTTTCTGGTTTTGATGGAACGGGGAAACTATGGTTCATTCAAGATTGCCCAGTTTGATTGTAGCTTGTGGAAAGAGAAGTGTGAAGGGTCTGCGTGCGTTAGCAAAGGCTCAGACATATAATGCCATATTATTATCCGTTTGGGGACAAATGTGGCTACGTGCTTGGAGCTGTCAGTATTACATTTGTTTAGTTTATTTATTTCATAAGAATGATACACAGCATGACGGTTAAAAAACAACAGCTCAATGCAGTTTACAAAGAGAAAAAAACAATAAAATTATCAGTAAAAGCAGCTCTTTAAAACATCCGAAAAATACAATCAGCAATAAATGATTGAACAGATTTAAACACACGTCAACTTCTACAGATCTGGGTAGGTAAGGATGTTTTTAGCAGGCCCAAAAGACAGTACCGTGGAGGCTGATATCAAGAGGCAGGGAGTTCCAGAGTGTAAATGCTGCCACACGAAAAGATCGATTTCTCACAAATGTGAAATGGGTATCATGTGACACTTGTAACAGCACCAGTTTGGCTGATTGAAGTGGTCATATACAGATGCCTTAGTTGTGATTCCTGCATTGCAAGGGGTTGGATTTGACCTTTGAGGATCTCTCCCAGCCCTACAATTCTGTGATACCTGGAGGCATGGCCAAAGTCAGTTTCAGGGGCCTAATCCGGCCCACCAGTCGGTTTAATCCAGCCCCTGTGGCAGTTTATTTCCTGGGGTAAAATCCTAAAGCCCGGCTTTGGCTGGGGAGGGTGGGATATAAATAAAAATTTATTATTATTATTATTTTTAAAAATCCTCAACAACTTCAATCCTTTAAAAAAAAGGTTGGCCCTTTGGTTGGCCCTCAAGGCCCTCCACGTCATCAGATCTGGCCCTCTTTGAAAAAAGTTTGGACACCACTGCATGGGGTCAGGCGATATTGCAGGTTACATTCTCACGTGCGGCAGATCTGTATGAAGGTTCAGACACACACAAGGCAGACCACGGCTTGTTCCTGGCACACAGGTGCCAATGTTAAGAGGGGGTCCCGGGCGACCCTCAGGGATTTCAGTGGGCACCGGGGGGGGGGGGCAGGAAGAGCTGGTTATGGGTTTTGACGTACGTTGGGCCCAAACCACTGAGCAAGAGAGGCTTTGCGGACCTGGTTTTCAGACTCTTCTGAACTGGAAGCGAGCGAGCTGCGTTTTGTCAAATCCTGTGGCTCGTTTGTGTTCCTTGCAAGCCTCGGTGGTTCATGAATAACAGAGCAGCGCTGCGCACGACCTGCTTCTTTGCCGTCTTAGGCTCCGCTCTCGAAAAGGGGCTTTGTTGCAAAACCTCTTTCCCTTTTTTTCTGCCTTCCTGCTCTCGCTTGCTCTCCTGAGCTGCCCTGGAGGAAGCTGCGCCCCTGGAGATGCATCTGAAGGCGCAGGGTGTTTATTTAAAGAAGCAGAATATTCCAAGCCAGGATGGCTGGGCTGTAGCTGAGGGAGCCCATTACAGGAGGTGAACCCATGTGGAAGATGAAGGACAGGCGAGGCTTTCTGTGGGGAGAGCGCTGGCCTTTTCCCCCTGTTTGAGGGAGCCGTGCCAGGCTGTCAGTTGAAAAAGAGAGAGAGAAAAGCAGGAACGAGAAAGGTTTTTGTTT